TCTATCTATCTAATCTATCTATCTATCTATCTATCTATCTATCTATCTATCTATCTATCATCTATCTATCTATCTATCTATCTATATCTATCTATCTATCTATCTATCTATCTATATCTATCTATCATCTATCTATCTACATCTATCTATCCTATCTATCTATCTATCTATCTATCTATCTATCTATCTATCTATCTATCTATCTATCTATCTATCTATCTATCTATCTATCTATCTATCATCATCTACTATCTATCTATCTATCTATCTATCTATCTATCTATCTATCTCTATCTATCTATCTATCTATCTATCTATCTATCTATCTATCTATCTATCTATCTATCTATCATCTATCTATCTATCTATCTATCTATCTATCTATCTATCTATCTATCTATCTATCTATCTATCCTATCTATCTATCTATCTATCTATCTATCTATCATCTATCTATCTATCTATCTATCTATCTATCTATCTACCAAACTAAATATTTTTAATTCCTCTTAAATCATGTGTTCTATTTGCATGTTTATGGGTTAATTTGTTTTGATGGACGTGTTAATGTCACTTTTGAAATTAATGAACATTCGCAAGAGGATACAGATTTTAGTTTATTTTATTGTTTATTTTATTTATAGAATTTTAATAAAACAAATACAGAAACAAAAAACTAGATTGCATGAAATGAAACTAACTTTGAAAATTAATTGATATAAATAAATATTTATTTGTAAGAACATAAACTAATAATCACGTTTATTTGTTTTGTTTTTATTCAAAAGTAGCAAGAGGGAATACTTTGCATAGACAATTATTCACGTTCATCCAGTTTTGTTGAGTTGGGGTCTCCAACATTTATTTATTGATGATACAATAATAATAATAATAAAACACTATACATTTAGCTTGTGTTATTTAAATTAATTAAAATCGTATAATTTATTCTGTATGGAAGGAACATGCATATAAACACAACTTTTTTATAAAACACAAATAATAGAAATGAATAAAATAGGAAATTTTTATTAAAAGTATTAAAAATATCACATAATTTAAAAAAAAAAATTAATTTTTTATTAAAAATTTAGTGAAAAGTTGTTAATTTATTATGTTTTTCCTAAAAACGCCCTAAATAATAAGAAAATTACTTTAAAAGTTTAAAAAACTAAATATTTTTCTTAAAAATAAAACAATTTGTTAGTTCTCAAGTTAATTTAAAAACTTATAATTAAAATTAACACGATTTTTCCTCCTTTTTTCTATTTAATAAAAGAAACCATATTTGTTTACATTATTTAATCCTGTCAAATCATCTGTTTCTTACTATCATCTACACCCCGTTAAAAGTGTTGCCACATGTGTTTTTTGTTTTTAAGCATAAAACCCGCTTGTTTTTTTTAGATTTTCTTCCTTTAATTTATCTACTTTTTTATTACTGATTTAAATAACAACCAAAAATCTTTTTTTATAAAATAAATTGATTTATTGCATTCTATTTGATAATAAAAATAAAATAATAATTCATTGGCACCCAACCGTATGACGTGTTTTTTTAAGGCAAAAGACTCAAAAAAGAATAAATAAAAATTTAAATGTTTTGTTATAAAAATAAAATGCAATGAAATATTGAAAAAAAAAAAAGAAGTCATATGCCTTTAATATTTAATTTAAAAGAAAAATACTTGAACTGCATAGCAACAGAATTTAATATGCAATAGACAAAACTATTATAAATTCAAAAATCTTTTTCGAGTTAAGACACTATTAGAACAGATTTGTATTCTAAAGAGTACAAAGTATCCAAATGTCTGAATATACTTTTTTTCTTCAACTTTTAACAAAGTCAATGATCTTATAATGCCAGATTATGCAATGAAGAATCGAAATTATTTATAAAAAAAAAATATTAAAGAACTACCTAGTTTAAGTCTTGATTATAGTCTACTATAATGTTAAGACTGGATTATAGTCTAGTCGAATGTCTGAAATAAAGCCAAGCATCTAATGTGAGATATAGATTAGTCTTAATTCAACAGCCTGGATTGCAGTCTAGGGTATAGTACGAATTAAAGTTTAGATTATGGTCTGGACTATAGTCTAGTCTAGTCTGTAGTCTAACCTGTAGTCTCGTTTATAATCTGGATAGTTTGCAGTATAGTCTAGTATATAGTCTATTATATAGTCTAGTCTATAGTCTAGTATATAGTCTATTATAGTCTAGTCTATAGTCTAGTATATAGTCTATTATATAGTCTAGTCTATAGTCTAGTATATAGTCTATTATATAGTCTAGTCTATAGTCTAGTCTATAGTCTAGTCTATAGTCTAGTCTTTAGTCTAGTCTATAGTCTAGTCTATAGTCTAGTCTATAGTCTAGTCTATAGTCTAGTCTATAGTCTAGTCTATAGTCTAGTCTATAGTCTAGTCTATAGTCTAGTCTATAGTCTAGTCTATAGTCTAGTCTATAGTCTAGTCTAGTCTATAGTCTAGTCTAGTCTATAGTCTAGTCTATAGTCTAGTCTAGTCTAGACTATAGTCTAGTCTATAGTCTAGTCTATAGTCTAGTCTATAGTCTAGTCTATAGTCTAGTCTATAGTCTAGTCTATAGTCTAGTCTATAGTCTAGTCTATAGTCTAGTCTATAGTCTAGTCTATAGTCTAGTCTATAGTCTAGTCTATAGTCTAGTCTATAGTCTAGTCTATAGTCTAGTCTATAGTCTAGTCTATAGTCTAGTCTATAGTCTAGTCTATAGTCTAGTCTATAGTCTAGTCTATAGTCTAGTCTATAGTCTAGTCTATAGTCTAGTCTATAGTCTAGTCTATAGTCTAGTCTATAGTCTAGTCTATAGTCTAGTCTATAGTCTAGTCTATAGTCTATAGCCTAGTCTATAGTCTAGTCTATAGTCTATAGTCTAGTCTATAGTCTAGTCTATAGTCTAGTTTATAGTCTAGTCTATAGTCTAGTCTATAGTCTAGTCTATAGTCTAGTCTATAGTCTAGTCTAAAGTCTAGTCTATAGTCTAGTCTATAGTCTAGTCTATAGTCTAGTCTATAGTCTAGTCTATAGTCTAGTCTATAGTCTAGCCTATAGTCTAGTCTATAGTCAAGTCTATAGTCTAGTCTATAGTCTAGTCTATAGTCTAGTCTATAGTCTAGTCTATAGTCTAGTCTATAGTCTAGTCTATAGTCTAGTTTATAGTCTAGTCTATAGTCTAGTCTATAGTCTAATCTAATCTATAGTCTAATCTAGTGTATAGTCTAGTCTATAGTCTAGTCTATAGTCTAGTCTATGGTCTAGTCTATAGTCTAGTCTATAGTCTAGTCTATAGTGTAGTCTATAGTCTAGTCTATAGTCTAGTCTATAGTCTAGTCTATAGTCTAGTCTATAGTCTAGTCTATAGTCTATCTATCTATAGTCTAGTCTATAGTCTAGTCTATAGTCTAGTCTATAGTCTAGTCTATAGTCTAGTCTATAGTCTAGTCTATAGTCTAGTCTATAGTCTAGTCTATAGTCTAGTCTAAAGTCTAGTCTATAGTCTAGTCTATAGTCTAGTCTATAGTCTAGTCTATAGTCTAGTCTATAGTCTAGTCTATAGTCTAGTCTATAGTCTAGTCTATAGTCTAGTCTATAGTCTAGTCTATAGTCTAGTCTATAGTCTAGTCTATAGTCAAGTCTATCTAGTCTATAGTCTAGTCTATAGTCTAGTCTATAGTCTAGTCTATAGTCTAGTCTATAGTCTAGTCTATAGTCTAGTCTATAGTCTAGTCTATAGTCTAGTCTATAGTCTAGTCTATAGTCTAGTCTATAGTCTAGTCTATAGTCTAGTCTATAGTCTAGTCTATAGTCTAGTCTATAGTCTAGTCTATAGTCTAGTCTAGTCTATAGTCTAGTCTATAATCTAGTCTATAGTCTAGTCTATATTCTAGTCTATATTCTAGTCTATAGTCTAGTCTATAGTCTAGTCTATAGTCTAGTCTATAGTCTAGTCTATAGTCTAGTCTATAGTCTAGTCTATATTCTAGTCTATAGTCTAATCTAGTCCATAGTCTAATCTAGTCTAGTCTATAGTCTAGTCTATAGTCTAGTCTAGTCTAGTCTATCGTCTAGTCTAGTCTAGTCTAGTCTATAGTCTAGTCTATAGTCTATAGTCTAGTCTAGTCCATAGTCTAGTCTATAGTCTAGTCTATAGTCTAGTCTATAGTCTAGTCTATAGTCTAGTCTATAGTCTAGTCTATAGTCTAGTCTATAGTATAGTCTATAGTCTAGTCTATAGTCTAGTCTATGGTCTAGTCTATAGTCTAGTCTATAGTCTAGCTTATAGTCTAGTTTATAGTCTAGTCTATAGTGTAGACTATAGTCCAGGCTATAGTCTAGACTATAGTCTAGTCTATAGTCTAGCTTATAGTCTAGTCTATAGTCTAGACTATAGTCCAATCTATAGTGTAGACTATAGTCTAGTCTATAGTCTAGTTTATAGCCTTGACTATAGTCTAGTCTATAGTATGGTCTGTTGTGTGGACTATAGTCTACAGTATTGACAACAGTCTAGACATTAGTCTGGTCTAGTCTATAGTCTGGTGTAGTTTCTCATCTATAGGCTAAAGTAGTAGTGTAGTTGTTTTCTATAAAACCTTTAAAGTAGGCGTTACATGAGAAAAAAAACTCCATTAAAAATAATCAATTAAAATGGAAATTTTCTTAATCCTCCTATAGGAAAATTTGCATTTGCTTCCGTCATATGTTCCAGTATAAAATTATCATTTTTTATTAAAAAAAATTGTTGAATTTTGTTGTTTTAATTACGGAGCAACAAAAGTGCATATTTTTTTTTTCTGACAAAAAGTTAAAGTTCAATCTGGAATTAATATTAAGTATTTACAAAAAAAGGCGGTGTTTTAAAGAAATTTCCACAGAATATAATGAAAGAAAAGAAAACATTCTTTGTATTTAAAATAAATCATTGGATGGATGATGGGGGACTATTGAAAAAGTAAGAATATCACAGGAAAACACTAATAATAAAACAGGTCGCTCTTTCTCTCTACTTAGTACTCACTCGGTGTTTCAATGGGAGTAAGAAAACAAACACATACTTGAAAAAAAAGAAATTGTACTATAAATGGGAACATTTTACACACATACATATTATCTGCACCTCTGCAATAAAAGCACGTCCGTCTCTTAATTGAATAATAATAACAATAACAAAATAACAATAACAAATGCGCAGGCGAACAATTATTTGATTATTAGTAGTAAATAAGTAAGAGTATTATCATTAGTTGTTGTTGTTGTTATTGTTGTTTTCGTGTATGTCATCAATTCTATTCTGTAAAGTCTGTACAATTTACTTGATATTTTTGTTGTTGTGATGAGCAAAAAAAAACAGAAAAAAATGTCATGAAAAGCGATGACCAAAATATAGAAAAAAATGACAAGATCAAGATGTGACGTTATTTTCAAATTAAACAGTTCAAATTGAGCGTTGGGCTCAAGCGGTGTAAAATTCAATTTAAACGTTAAATTCGGTTAAAATTAAAGAAAAATTCTTTTAAACTTAAGAAAAAAAATTTAAGAAAATATTAAAAAAAAGTTTTATGTTAGAAAAAAAGAGGCCTTTAGCTAGAAAAAAATGAGTTTTATTACAAAATTTTGTTATTTAATAATAAATTTAACTTTATTAATCCATATCAAAGGCCAAGAGTTAAATTTAGTGCCAAATGATGAACTATATAGTAGAGATTTTTATACCGTGCCCACTACTGTGAAAACCTATGAAAACGATAATGTTTTATTGCCCTGTGGTTACAAGTGTAAGTTTCTTAAAAAAAAAAAACAAAAATAAAAAAATTAATAAAAATTTTCACAAAATTAGTGCCTTATCTCTCGGTACGCTGGTTAAAAGAAGAAGACTTCCTATTGGAGTCCCCTCGCTCAGAACCTGTTTTTATGGAACGTTTACATTTGCTAGCCAATGGCAGTCTAGAGGTTATGAATGTCCAGGCTGAGGATACGGGCAAATATTATTGTGAAATTATCACTAGCACGGGTAAAGCTTTACAGCCCCATGCCATAGAAGTACAATATGCCCCACGCATTTCTACCACTCCTAGCGGTTATATAGAACTGCCTATAGGTGCTGTTTTGGAAATAATTTGTGAAGCTGAGGGTGTCCCTCAACCCGCCGTCAGTTGGGTTCATAATAATGAGACCATAATTGATTATTTGGTGGGTAATCGTCAGATACATATAGTGGAAATTAAATCGCGTAATATGTCGGGAAATATAGAGTGTATCGGGCAGAATGGTGTGGGTGGTCAAGCTGTGTCCGATGGTGTGGAATTGGTGGTGTTGTGTAAGTTTTATAAGATGGTAGAATAAACTTCTGACTAGACCAGACCATAGACTAGACTATAGTCCAGACTATAGTCCAGATTAAAAACTAGACTATAGTTCAGACTATAGAATACACTATAGTCCAGACTTTAGATTAGACTATAGTTCAGACTATAGAATACACTATAGTCCAGACTATAGTTCAGACTATAGACGAGACTATAGTCCAGACTATAGACTAGACTATCGTCCAGACTATAGACTAGACTATCGTCCAGACTATAGACTAGACTATCGTCCAGACTATAGACTAGACTATAGTCCAGACAATAGACTAGACTATTGTATAGACTACAGACTAGATTTTAGTCCAGACTACAGACTGGACTATAGTCCAGACTATAAACTAGACTATAGTCCAGACTAGGTACAAGGATATAGTCTAGACTATAGACTAGACTATAGTCCAGATTACAGACTAGACTATACTCCAGACTATAGAATTGACTATAGTCCAGAATATAGACCAGACTATAGTCCAGCCTATGCACTAGAGTATTGTGCAGACAATAGTATAAACTAGACTATAGTCCAGACTAAAGACTAGACTATAGTCCAGACTATAGAATAGACTATAGGCCAGACTATAGATTAGACTATAGTCAAGACTAAAGACTAGAATATAGTCCAGACTTTAGACTAGACTATAGTCCAGACTGTAGTTCAGACTATAGTCCAGACTATAGTTCAGACTATGGGATAGACTATAGTCCAGACTAAAGACTACACTATAGTCCAGACTATAGACTAGACTATAGTCCAGACTAAAGACTAGACTATAGTTCAGACTATAGAATAGACTATAGTCCAGATTAAGGCCTACAGTATAGTTCAGACTATAGACTAGACTATAATCCAGACTATAAACTAGACTATAGTCCAGACTATAGAACAAACTATAGTCCAGACTAAAGACTAGGCTTTAGTCCAGACTATAGACTAGACTATAATCCAAACTATAAACCAGACTATAGTCCAGACTATAGAATAAACTATAGTCCAGACTAAAGACTAGGCTGTAGTCCAGACTATAGACTATAGTCCAGACTGTAGACTAGACTATAATCCAGACTATAGACTAGATTATAATCCAGACTTTAAACTGCACTACAATCCAGACTATAGACTAGACTTTAGTCCAGACTATAAACTAGACTATAGTCCAGACTATAGACCAGACTATAGTCCAGACTATAGTCCAGACTATAGACCAGACTATAGTCCAGACTATAGTTCAGACTATAGACTAGACTATAGTCCAGACTATAGACTGGACTACAGTCCAGACTATAGACTAGACTCCAGACTATAGATAGTCCGGTTAAAAAGTTTTGCTCTTTTAACATCTTTCCCCTTTGCTCTCACCTACTGTCTTACCTACAGTCCCTCCCGAAATTCGTACTTTACGCAAAATCTACTATTCCAAAATTGGTGGTCGCCTACAACTCGAGTGCTACGTCGAATCAGCTCCCTTAGCTAAGGTTAAATGGTTTCATGCCGGCAAACCCATTACTTACGGTTCCTTCTTTGGACGCCAAGACAGCGAAGAATTATCGCCAAATCAAACGACAACACAACGTTACTATTCCGATATGAAACATTCTTTAATTGTTAAAAATGCCCGTGAAATTGATATGGGTATGTATGAGTGTAGAGCGGAGAACACGATTGGAGTGCAAAGTGCTTATATGGAGGTAACATTCCGTCCAATGCCATGCACTTTTAAGATTAGCCCTGACATGCAGAGTCCCACGGCGCATATACTGGTGTGGCAAACTGAAAGTTACTCGCCAATTATTGAATTTAAACTTAAATTTAGACAAGTACCATCTGGTGAGTAGTAGTAGCAGTAAACACGAAAGTGTATATTAAGATTAATTGATTAATTTGAGAGGGGGAATTTACAAATGTTTTTTTTTATTTTTATTTTATTCACAGACAGCAGTTTTGTATACTCGACAACAACAACGGTGACAGCGCAATATGCCGCTGAATGGACGGAGCTGACAATACCCTCTTCGATATCAATAGGTAAAGAATTTCAAAGTATTTTCAAGAAATTCTTAGGGGTTTAGTATGTTTACGTTTTGGAAATTCCACAAATTTTATATAAGTTTGTAATGCGTGGGTGGTTTGCGCAACAGTTGTGATATTACACTTACCCATGAAATTGTTCCCACAGGTTGGATATAGAGAGGATAAAGTTTGTAATTTTACTACAGAGAGATTTCCGATTAAGTTAGTTCCTAAGTGAAAATGATATCCAGAATTGGGGCTGCTTCTTGTCTATTAAATGATTAATGATTGAACTTGTTTTCTTCGATTAGCTTTGTTTCCTGCCGGGTAAAGATCTATGATTTAGTTCGTTCCTAGACGACAAGGAGACTCAGAATTGTTACTGTTACTTGTCTACTAAATGATCCACAATTGTTGTTATTTCTTGTATGCAGAAAGATCCATGATTTTTATATGACTGCGATATTGTTCTTTGACTTTCAAATAGCCACGATTGACCTGGTTGCTTGCCAACAATATATCTAGGATTGAACTTGTTTCTTGACTAAGGAAAGCTCCACAATTGAGCTTTTCCCTGAATACAGAACCGCAAATGAACTTGCTCCTTGTCAACTAATGATCTACGATTGATCTTGTTCTTGTTCTATAAAAGATCAATTGAGCTTGGTTAATGCCAAGTCAACAAAATATTCTTTGTCGATGAAAGATTTAAGATCGATCTAGTTCCTTGACAGTGGAAATATTCACTATTCAGCTTCTTCGTAGTCAACTAAAGATCCACGGTTGAGCATGATCTATGACTGCGGAAAGATATATGATTGAGTCTGTTAATAGTCAAGAAAAGATCTTGTTCTTCGACTACTAAAAGGTCGACCAAGGATCCAAGATTAAGCTTGTTCTTTGACTACGGAAAGATTCATGAATGAGCCTGTTCCTGGACAACTGAAGATTCACGATTGAACATGATCTTTGACTAAGGAAAGACCTACGATAGAGCTTGTTCCTAGTTAACTTAAGATTCACTCTAGCGTTTGTACCCTGCCAACCAAGGATTCAAGATTGGGCTTATTCTTGGACTATGGAAATATCCACGATTGAGCTTTTTCTTGGTTAACTAAAGATCTGCAATTGAGCGTGTTCTTTGTCTGCAGAAAGGTCTACGATTGCACTTATTCCTAATCAACTAAAGATCTCCAATTGAGCTTGTTCTTTGACTGTGGAAAGGTCCGTTAATTAGCTTGAACTTGGACTAAGGAAAGCGATAGATTGAACTTGTTTCTAGTTAATTGAAGGTTCATAATTGAGCAGGTTCTTTGACAGCAGAATGGTTCACGATTCAAATGGTATATTGATAACGGAAAGGTCTACGATTGATCTTGTTCTTTGTCGACGAAGGATTCAAGATTGAGCTTCTTCTTTGACTATAAAAAGATCCGCAATTGGTCAAGTAAACATCCGCGATTAAGCGTGTTCTTTGTCTTTAGATAGACCTACTATTGATCTTGTTCCTAGTCAACTATAGATCCACGATTAAGTTTGTTCTTTGACCTTAGAAGATCCAAGATTGAGCGTGTCTTTCAGCTGCGGAAAGGGTCCACGATTGAGATTGTTCATTGACTACGAAAAGGTCTACCATTAAGCTTGTTCCTTGTCAACTAAAGATCGGCGATTGAGCTTGTTATTTTGACTGCGGAAAGATATACAATTTAGCTTGTTCCTAATCAATTAAAGATTAACGTTTGAGCTTGTTCGTTGACTATGGAAAAACCTTCATTGACCTCATTCCTTTTGAACTAAAGATCCATGATATATGAGCCAGTTCTGTGACTTCAGAAAGTTCCTCGATTGAGCTTTTTCCTTATCAACTAAAGATTCATTATTTAGCAGGTCAAATATTACTAAGAGATCCATGATTGCGATTGTTATTCTACTACGAAAGGATCTAGTTTTGACGACTGAGGTTGCCTTTTATGAACCAAAGATCAGCTATTTATTTTGTCTCTTGACTACCGAAAGATTTACGATTAATCATGTTCCGAAAGATCTATTATTGAGTTTGTTTCCAAAGATCAATGGTTCCTTGTCCTTCAATGAACCACGATTGATCTAATTTCTTATCAAATAGTCATCCACAATTGAGCTTGTCCCTTGTCAATCAATGATTTACTATTCATCTTGTCTCTTGACTACCGAAAGATCCTCGATTGATATTGTGGCTTGATTATCGTCAGATCTATGATTGAGTTTGTTTATTGTCAACCATAGATCAAAGATTGAGCTTGTTTTTTGACTACCAACAGTTTTGGGACTAATCTTCGGTCTTGCCACTCCAAGCTTGTTCCTTGACCTCCGAAAGATCCTCTAAATAGACCTACTATTGATCTTGTTCCTAGTCAACTATAGATCCACGATTGAGTTTGTTCTTAGACCTTAGAAGATCCAAGATTGAGCGTGTCTTTCAACTGCGGAAAGTTCCACGATTGAGATTGTTCATTGACTACGAAAAGGTCTACCATTAAGCTTGTTCCTTGTCAACTAAAGATCGGCGATTGAGCTTGTTATTTGACTGCGGAAAGTTATACAATTTAGCTTGTTCCTAATCAATTAAAGATCAACGTTTGAGCTTGTTCGTTGACTATGGAAAAACCTTCATTGAGCTCATTTCTTTTCAACTAAAAATCCATGATATATGAGCCAGTTCTGTGACTTCGGAAAGATCCTCGATTGAGCTTTTTCCTTATCAACTAAAGATTCATTATTTAGCAGGTCAAATATTACTAAGAGATCCATGATTGCGATTCATCTTGTTCCTTGGTTTTTAGATAATCCACTATGGAGTTTGTTCTTTGACAGCTAAAGATCACGATAGACCGTGTTCTTTGTCAGACAAAGATCGCGATAGAGCTTGTTCTTTGTCAGCCAAAGATTCACGATTGGACTTGTCTCTTGACTATCGAAAGATCCACGACTGAGGTTGCCTTTTATGAACCATAGATCATTAGATTATTTTGTCCCTTGACTATCGAAAGATTTACGATTAATCATGTTCCGAAAGATCTATTATTGAGTTTGTTTCCAAAGATCAACGGTTGCTTGTCCTTCAATGACCCACGATTGATCTAATTCCTTATCAAATAGTCATCCACAATTGAGCTTGTCCCTTGTCAATCAATGATTTACTATTCATCTTGTCTCTTGACTACCGAAAGATCCTCGATTGATATTGTGGCTTGATTATCGTCAGATCTATGATTGAGTTTGTTTATTGTCAACCATAAATCAAAGATTGAGCTTGTTTTTTGACTATCAACAGTTTTGGGACTAATCTTTTGTCTTGTCATTCCAAGTGCTATGTTCAATCTAGTTCCTTGATCTCCAAAAGATCCTCAAAATTGAGTTTGTTTCTTGATTTCTTAAAGTTTCTCCAATTATCTTGTTTTTGGATTTCCAAAAGATTTTCTATTGATCTTGATCCTTGACTACAACTTCCAAAATTTTATTTCTTCTTATAAATTTTTTAATTCTTTTTCATTTTCCGCTCTCTATAGGTCCCATTTATACCACCACCTATACCCTGCATGGTTTACATCCCGCCAGTATTTATCAGGTGGTAGTTTTGGCACGTAATCATTATGGCTGGAGTGATAGCAGTAAAATTTTACGTTTTGCCACCGGAGGAGAAGGTAGGTGACAAATTTTGAAATAATTTATTTAATACAACAATTTCTCTTTTATAAACCAGTTGAATTTCCCAATTATTCCACTGAATCGGATAAATTTGATGACGCAAATGATGAGATCCCAAATTCCGCAGCTATTGATGATAGTAATGATCTAATGAATAATAAAACTTTGGAAGAAATAGCTGAAAATACTATAGATCCCTATAAAGATTTAAAATTATATGCCACCATGACTTTATATCCCTCAACTGGCAGTAGGTTTAGCAACAATTGCGCTTGTTGGGGACAGTATTTAAGTGCTATTGTAGTCATAATTGCTTATAAATTGTATTTGCATTGAGAACGTATTATTAAGAAGAATTAAATAATAATAATAATAAAAAATATTATTAAATAAAATTGGGATTATGATTTTTCTATTGTTTGGCTGAGAAATTTTTTTGGAATTGGGTGTTATTTTGTTAGTGCTTGAAAGAAATTTATGTTAGAAAGTAAATTATTTAATAAAAAAAGAACAAAATGATCAGAAAACTTGTTTTGTTCGAAATTCTTATTAATTTCAATCTTATTTTGTCTTAAGTACAAGTGTACTTAGAATAACCTAATCATCTGAAAACTGATAACAAAAATTTCATCAGTTTTTTTTTTTTTTTCAAAATGATTTGGCTTTATTTTAAAAACATTTTGCTAATAAAGCAATTAAAATGAAATATTTTTATAAAAAATATATAGAATTTCATTATCATAAGTAAAACGTGTCTTTATGCTTATTTGAAATTCATTCATTTCAATTCATTTAGTATTCTATATTTAGTATAAACACACTCTATAATCATAGTATTTTCACATACCATAAACGATCATCTGTTCGTTCTGGCATCTCCTCTCAACTGCAGCATCAACATCATTATCATCTGTAGCATCTTCTAGTAACAGCCATCAATTCAATATGTGTGTGTCTGTTTTTTTTTTTAGTGACCTTTGACAAGAATATTGACTTTTATTTTAATTTAATGCAAATTTTCTACGCAGTCTTTGTAGTTTTTATACCAGCGCACGCGTACTGACATGTGCTTTTGATCGTTTACTAAGTTTATCTTGGGGGTTTCTTAAGCTTCTGGAAGATTTATCTTGGGGGTAGAGAAGATTTAGAATGTTAGCGGCAGACGTTAGAACTGCAGTAACAAATCAAGAAGAAGTTAAATTTAAAGTATGTTCCTCGACTAATTCACGATCCATCATGGCATCTTTCTCTTCTTCTACGATCCACGATTGAGTTTTTCAATTGAGTTTTTTTCTTGATCATTAAACGATCTAATATTGAACTGTTCTTCGGCACGATTGAATAGATCCTTGAATAATGAAAGCTTGTCAATTGAAATTCTTTCTTGATTATTAAAATTCACGATCCATCACGGCATCTTTCTCTTCTTCTACGATCCACGATTGAGTTTTTCAATTGAGTTTCTTTCTTGATCATTAAACGATCTAATATTGAAAAGTTCTTCGGCACGATTGAATAGATCCTTGAATAATGAAAGCTCGTCAATTGAAATTCTTTCTTGATTATTAAAAGATCAAAAATTGTCTTGGTTCTTCGCTGGGCTTAACGATCCACATTTTAGTAGTTTTTCGCCTAATAAAAGTTCCTTAACTGAGTTTCTTTTAGGATTACTGAACGATCCAAATTTTAGCTTTGATAGAGATCTTTCAGAACTAATAAAAAGTTAATACTAAATGATCAACGGTTGAGTTGAAAGCTCCTCAATTGAATTCCATTCTTGACTATTAAACGATGCATGTTTGAGTTGTTCTTCGACTATCCTACTCGATTAAGTTGTTTCTTGACGAATGAAAGATTCTTTCAGAATTATTAAACGATTAAAGTTTGAGCTTTGATTGAGTTCTTTGGACTAATGAAAAGCGAATACCAAACGATAAACGATTGAGTTGTTTCTCGACTTATGAAAGATCCTTAATTGGATTTCTTTCTTGGTATCAAACAAGATTGAGTTCCTCGATTAAGTTGTATCTCAAAGAATGAAAGATTCTTTCATAATTATTAAACGATCCAAGTTTGAGCTTCGATTGAGTTCTTAATGGACTAATGAAAAGCGAATACTAAACGATTGAGTTGTTTCTCTCGAAAGATCCTCAATTTAGTTTCATTCTTGAATATTAAACGTTTTAAGATTGCGTTGTTCTTCGACTATCAAACGATCCTTGATTGATTTGTTTCTCCACTAATGGAAGCTTCTTAATTAAGTTTCTTTCTTGATTATTAGACGATCTAAGATTGAGCAGTTCTTCGACTATGAACTGAACCTTGATTTGGTTCTTCCTGGCTTCGATTAAGTTTGTTTCTTCGACTATTAAACATTCCACGATTGGGTTTTTCCACGACTAATGAAAGCTTCTGTTAATCTACGATTAAGATTGATTTTGAACATCTGTAGAAACCTATGGCTTCTACAGAAGTAGAAGATAGAGCTGCAAAGGCTCCGAGATTGAGCTTGTTTTCTTAGTACTAAAAATCTGCAAATGAGTTTATTCCTTGTCTTGTAAAGCGTGCATAATAGCGCTTATTCTTGACTAAAAATTTTCAATCTCGTCTTTTCAATGATCCAAGATTGAACCTGTTCCTCGACTACTAAAGATCCGAAAATGATTTTGTTCCTTGACATCTAAAAGAGCAAGGTTGTGCTTATTCATTGTCTAAATATCCAAGAATCAGTTAATTTCTTGACCTCTAAAAGGCAACGATTGAATTTGATTATAAGGTACTAAAATCCCAACGATCGATATAGTGTTGTGAGCCATGAAAGCCTACGATTGAGGTTGATCTTAGACTATTAAGAGAGCTATGATTAAGGCTTATCTTGGACTCCTAAAACAATAACGATTAAGGCTGATCCCCAAATCAATAATAGAGCGCAGATTGTTACAGTGTTTATAATAGATAACGACTGAGCTTGATCTTTAAACAATGAAATGTCAACGCTAGAGATCTTTTCTTAAGCACTGAAGAAGCTCATTATCCACTAATAAGAGAGCGAAGATTGAGGCCGATTTTTGACTACTAAAAGTTCTACAATTGAGAATATTCATGAGTTTGAAATAGAACACGATTGACGTTGATCTTTAACCACCAAAACCCCAACGATCGAGATTGTTTATTGAGCTCTGAAATCCTATGTTTAAGACTGATCTTCGATTAATAAGAGAGTGAAGATTGAGGCTGATCTTGAGCTACTAAAACATTTAAGATTGATGCTTAATAAGAGAGCAAATATTGATCATCGATTGATATTGTTATTGAGTTTGTAATAGACCATGATTGAGTTTGATCTTTCACTACTAAAATGCCAACGATTCTGATCATTCTTTGAGTTCTCAAAGCCTATGATTGAGGCTGATCATCTACTAATAAGAGAGCGAAGATTGAGGACGATTTTTTACTACGAAAAGATCTACAATTGAGAATATCATGAGTTTGAAATAGAACACGATTGACGTTGATTTTTGACCACCAAAATCCCAACGATCGAGATTGTTTCTTAAGCACTGAAGGCCTATGTTTAAGGTTGATCCTCGTTTAATAAGAGAGTGAAGATTGAGGCTGATCTTGGGCTACTAAAACATCTAAGATTGTTACCGATCCCTGCTTAATAAGGGAGCAAAGATTGATCATTGATTGATATTGTTCTTGAGTTTATAATAGACCTTGACTGAGCTTGATCTTTCACTACTAAAATGCCAACGATCGTGATAATTTCCTGAGTTCTGAAAGCCTACGATAAGAGAGTGAAGGCCGAGTTCTGAAAGCCTACGATTGTGGCTAAACCTTGACTAATAAGAGAGCAAATATTGAGGCTGATCTTAAACTATTAAAAGATCTACAATTGTGAGTATTCAAGAGTTTGAAATAGAACACCATTGAGCTTGATCTTTAACCACTAAAATGCCAATGATCGCTATCGTTTCTTGAGCTCTGAAAGAATACGATTGAGACTAACTTTCGACCAATAAGAGATCGATGATTGAGGCCGATATTGGACTACGAAAACGTCTACAATTGCGATCGATCCCTGCTTAATAAGGGAGCAAAGATTGATCATCGATTAATATTGTTCTTGAGTTTGTTATGGACCATGATTGAGCTTGATATTTCACTACTAAAATGCCAACGATCGTAATAATTTCTTGAGTTCTGAAAGCCTACGATAAGAGAGCGAAGGTCGAGTTCTGAAAGCCTACGATTGTGGCTAAACTTCGACTAATAAGAGAGCAAATATTGAGGCTGATCTTAAACTATTAAAAGATCTACAATTGTGAATATTCAAGAGTTTAAAATCGAACACGAATGAGCTTGATTTTTAACCACTAAAATGCCAATGATTGCGATCGTTTCTTGAGCTCTGAAAGAATAAGATTGCGGCTAAATTTCGACCAATAATTGAGGCCGATATTGGACTACGAAAACATCTACAATTGAGAATATTCGTGCGTTTAAAAGAGTCCATGATAGGGTATGGATCTGGAGCGCTGAAAGTCAACGATTAAGTTTGATCTTTGCTACTAAAATATAGATTTTTAAAGATGATCTTAAGCAGCAACTTTTAAAGATCCACGCGCCTGCTTTTGTCTGTAGTTCAGCCGCTTAAATTGTGATTTCCAAAGATCGTTTTTTAAGCGCTGAAAGTCAACGAATAAGTTTGATCTTTGCTACTAAAATATAGATTTTTAAAGATGATCTTAAGCAGCAACTTTTAAAGATCCATGCGCCTGCTTTTGTCTGTAGTTCAGCCGCTTAAATTGTGATTTCCAAAGATCGTTTTTTAAGCGCTGAAAGTCAACGAATAAGTTTGATCTTTGCTACTAAAAGATCGATTTTTAAAGATGATCTTAAGCAGCAACTTTTAAAGTTCCACATGCCTACTTTTGTCTGTAGTTTAGCCGCCGTAATTGTGATTTCCGTTGGTACAATTCAATATCGTTTTCGTTTTCTTCAACTTATTTGCTTTACATGCATTTATTTTTGTAGATTACAAAACTTATGCAAATCAAATGCATAAAATAGCCAAGTATAACAACAATACAAATGTTATTCAATTTAAAACTTTTGTTAAAAAAAAATTCTATTTATTTACATATAGAAAACCACAACATATGTACGATCGTTGTTGCATTTAAATCAAATAAAAAAGACAAAAAGAAAAAAAGATTTTTTTCTGATTTAAACAGCACTCGTGTCAAAATCCTTTAGTTTTTTTTTTCTGCTGTAGCCAACAACTTAAAACCAAGTCGAGGTCAGTCAATTCGTGTTAAATTCAATGCAAAATATTGACGTTTATCTTGAGAGAGAAAAAAAAAAGGAAAATTAATTTAGAATGACAGAT